AGGGAAAATCGTCTTTTTGAGTACTTCTTGAGCCTTGGCAGTTAAACGCAATTCAGATTTTCTAAGAATGAACATGGCTGGTTGTTCTCCATTTTTGAGGCCCCTGATGAACTTCAAATAAATGAGACTCCAATTAAACATCCCGGAAAGCCCAACTATGAAAAGTGAAATCTCAACAGCAACTGTGAGAGGGTGAACCAAAAGTGAGGCAACCGATGTCTTTGCATTCTAATAGTCTTGGATGTTAGAGGATTTGTATGGTTTGAGGTCGTATAATGTAGGACTAGAGAAGCTGACTCTGGTCCTGGATGTGGGAAAGCCGAGTGGGGCTGTGTCTGGCCATAGCACCATCCCAGTTTGTACACAGTACGTATAGGTTCTCTGCACAGCTCCGCTGCACAGTGAAGATGTACGTGCAGATGTAGCAGTGGTTTCCCCAGGTACCTCTCAAGGGCAGCGATATTTGTGGGATAGATGATCTGCAGACAAGTCTGTCTTTATCTGGGGGAAAATCCAGCCACACAGTCTACACACACAGTCTCTCCACACACAGTCTCTTTACAGAGACTGAGGGTTAAAGGGAGCTATGCAGAGTTTGTGTTTCTGTCCAGCATGGAGACGGGAGTTGATATTCACTTGGATACCAACGCTTTTCTGGGTTACACACTTCAGCTCCCAAAGGTGATCAGGTTGTCTCAGTGTGACAGCAATGCAGCACCATCAAAGAACCCACAAATCTAGGAAGAGTTGCCCATTTCTCGCTATTTTTAAGTGAGACATGATGTTTTATCCCCCTAGTTTTTTAACATTTCTTCTCTGGCTCCTTCCTAGGTGGGTGACTGGCCATTGGAGTCCCTGCTCTGCTACGTGTGAGAAAGGTGTCCAGCGCCGGGAAGTGACTTGTGTTTATCAGCTGCAAAATGGCACCTACGTTAACACAAGAGACCTCTACTGCCTCGGCAGCAAACCAACAACAGTACAAAGCTGTGAAGGACGGGACTGCCTTTCTATCTGGGAAGCATCAGAGTGGTCAAAGGTAGGAACTTGATTCAAGAAAGGAGCCAGACTGCACACAGCAGGCCCTAATCCAGCTAAATGCTTAAAATTCCGGATGTTCTCAGGGCCAGTGTACTCAGTGCCTTGTAGTACTGGGGCACTGGGTAAGACTGTCATTTGTTGAGATGATCAGTTTGGAACTGAGGTTTGTATTCCATACCAGATGAGTCATTAAGGCGAGTTTCAGAGATCATGCTGTAATAACTGTATCTTTCTATCTGAAAACTCTGACCAGCAAGGAAAAACATTGGACTGACCTCAGGCCACAAGTGTAGTAACCGACCAGGGGTTCTGGCTCCGTTTAAATGCAGTATGAAACAAATACCAAATTCATCAAGCATCTGCATGTTGCAGAGAATGTACAATCTTTGGGCCTTGTCCAACCCTTTTTTGTGTAATTCCAGGAACATGGAAAAGCTGGTTATACTTTGTATAAATGGTGCATCTCCACGTCATCACTTCAGAGAGTGAAGAAATTATTCTCAGATATTATAAATGTATTTCAGATATAAATGTGGTCTAGACAGTTAGCCTGCATTTTGTTTAGCAACAGAGAGATCTGGGAATATACCTACAGTTCCCCACCAGGACTCAGCTAATACAGGGCAACTTTGTACCTTGTGAGTAACAGCCCTAATAGGATGTCGGTGTTAGCTTTGATACTGTGTCTGCTAGGCACATCTGAATGATGAGAAGCTCCTTTCACTCTTGGTGCAGTGCTTACAGCTCTACCAGCCTCATTCCATATTGGCTGTGTTAGGGGACACAGCAACAGTCATTTCTGTGGGAAGGATCTTTGCTTGTTATTCATCTCTATTTTGAAACAGTGAGCTCCTGTTTAAAACGTTGTCAAAGAGCTTTTGCCAAACGTTATTGTTAGAAATGTAAAAAAAAAAACAAGTCACAGAAGCTCAGGATACGAGGGATCTTGCACTGGGAGGCAGTGTCTCTCAAACACAATGTGATTCCACCGTCCACCTTTTGAACAGGAAATCTTTGTTTGGCAAGTGAGGTGATAGTTAAGTGAGAGTAGTGTTTCTTTTCAGTAGGATGCTGTGTCTGTTCACTAACGCATGAGACTCTTTCTGAGTTCTTTCATTTCAAAAGATGTGGAGAAACACACCAAAGTTTTAATAATTTGTCTGACTGATAGGTCATTTGTGTGTTTCTGAAGTAACCCTTCCAGATGGTGCCCTCTTTATTTCTTATAGCTGAACCAGCTGTTAATAGCTGAGACTATTCTTATGGTGCAGTTCCTACCTGTTTTACATGGGGAGTTTTTACATGGGGAATTTTTACATGTGGTCTTTTGTTAACAATCCCAGATACTTCTCTCTCCTTTTAAGAAATGGAGCAAGTCAAGTTACAGAAGGCTTTTTCCAGGGTGGAAATCTTCCATGTTTGCGACCACATAAGTTGTTTGCAAATACATAGTATTTTCAGAGTATTTTTCCAATAACTCATTTACTTTTTCTTTGATAAATGTATTTACCTTTTTTCATGTCTGTGACTGCCCACTTGTGATTTTAAATTTGTTCTTGTTCTGGCGCATTTCTGCTATTATGTAGCACAGTTGACCCCAGGACACGTTTGATGCTCTGCCAGTTTGAACACTTCTCATACCTAGGACTTTCTTCAGTGGTAATCACTTTAATCCTTAACATTTTAATCTGATGTTGTGGAGTAAATATCACAGTAGTGGTATCGTTTTATAAATCCATTTTCTCATGTATGTTTTTGAACTTTTTGGTTATACAACAAAAAACAGTTGACCACATTGATTTCTGGTCCCTAGTCAAAAATGTGTGTTTTCAAAGCAAATTCCAATACAATCTTCATTGTGGAAAAAATTAAGTTCCCCTTTTATTGCCAAACACTTGAGATTGTTTTGGACAAAGTACTGCTTAACCCATTTTTAATGACAAAAATAGAGACTGTCAGAAAATGTTGAATGTTTCTACTGTGAGGGAATAGAGTAGAAAAAAATATGGACTTCCTTCAGATAAAGGAGCTGTATCTTAACTGCAAAGTTGTGTTGCTCCTTTACAAAACCTTGTGGGATTTGACTAGTAATTCGTTAATAAATTAAGACTTGATGATTTCAGCTGGACACTCAGGGACTGCACATATTATTTAGTAGACTGCTTTGTTGTGGAATCTCTCTAAAATATATACGTTAAGAAATTCTTCATGAAGACAGAGGACTTGAAGAAAGAAAAGAACTCTTAAAGAGGGTGATTTATATGTGACCACCAAAGATCTGTTGGAAACCTTTTGCAAATGGTGTTTTGTCTAGGAAAGTATATGCAGTATTAATCTGTGAATGACTTAAAAGCTTGTGGGAAGAACAAACAGTTGGTGTTTTTCCCAGACTTGCTTGTAAAACCCACCTAGAGATTTCTCCTACTGTGAAAAATACTCCCACTTCAGTTTGTTTTACTTTGAGTAAATTGGACCATTTGAAAGATTTTATATATTGTGCTTTGTAGTTTGAGATGAACTAGTGCAACCCTGAGGAGTCCACTCTGAGGACTGAGAAAAATGAGATACAGTTTGGGGAAGTCTATACAACTTGGGGCAAGTTCACTGCTTTAAGGTACCATTTAGGGAGCTCCAGCCTGGGATCTCTGGCAAGTCTTGTGCTCTGAGGAGTCCAGCAAAGCAGTTTCAGGAATTCTGGAAAGCCTGGAAGAATTCATCCCCGTATCTAGCAGGACTATACAATTGTACTTGTTACAAAGATGTTACATCCTTAAGGAGGTCACGCCATGAGAAGCACATAGTAAATTAAGTGGAAGGTTTCCCAGATTTTCAAGAAGTCACTTTGTAGTGCTGTGAAGTATTTAAAGGCATGTCTGTTTGCTTGCCAGCTCATAAACGCTTGTCATTCATGTCCTTAACAAGGCCAGCAGGTCAGAACTGCCTGGATTGTATTTTTAAGACGGTTAGACAGGCATGCTGAGATTTGTCCATTTGATGTAATTTATATCAAGCTGACGCTTGTTTCCAACATAGACCCCCTGGATGGAGAAGTTTCTTGGAATATGTTCAAAAGACCTCACAGAATATCTCATATCTTCACTATTTATTCAGTGTCAAATCAACCATCTTTTGCATACTGATCCCCTGAAGGGGAGAACTTGACATGCTAGAGGAGGTTAGTTTTTATCTCAGTTGATACATATATCATTTTTCCACCCACCTGTCCCCAGTGGCACTTCGAGAAAATTTCTCACTCTTAACCACTGCAGTGGCATGAAAATGAAGAGCAGAGAGACCAGCTATGCTGTTGTGTAGCGACATGCACTTAGATGGCTGTGACAGCATCAGCAGATGTGTTATTCTTTTACCAAACTGGTTATTTAAAACAGAAATTCTGTTTCAGTTCATGCTAATGTCCTTTTCCCACGTAGTACAGTCAATGAAATCAAGACAAATTCTCCAGTAAAACAGAATTTCCAGCCAACTGTTGGCAGAGATAACAAATGGATGACCAGATATCCCTGCACTTTAGAAGCTACCTTCATAGTGCCCAGGCACAAAAGCATTTGTGGACAATTTGTGCTCACTCACACGAATGTTTGTTAGAGTGCCCAAATGCTTGGATCAAGTCTTCCTTCAGCAGCTGATTCTAGCAGCTCTAGTAGCCTCCTGCTTTCTCAGAGGACTTCAAACAGTCCCTGCTTCTGCTTTTGGTGTGGAGAAGTCTGTCCTTCATCCCTGCTGATGTCTGTGGCTAGCTTGCTGATCACAACACTGTAGCTCACGGAATAACGCCTCTCCTCAGCTATCCCCTTTGTACATTTCAAGTTCTTTGAAACTAACACAGCGATGAGGATATGGCAAAACAAAGAGTGAAGGTCATGTATGTGTTTCACACGAGAACACGTGTGAGAACTGTGACTTTGCAGTGGTGTGTACAAACTGTACCGCAGAAATGTGTTTGTAACAGTGGTCTCATGCTACTGTGATTTAGAATGTGTTCGTCGCCATCATGCTGCTCCCATGATACATCGAGGGATGCAGCAGTTCTGTGTTGTGAATCTCAGTGTGTCCTTTTCCAGTGTGAGTGATGAGCTCTGAAACACTAGGTTTAGTAGGTTTTTTCATCTGTAACACCAATTCTAGTAAAATGCCAGCTGATATTTTTCAAAGGTTGATTTTCAGAATTGCCATTTCTCATAAGTAAAATATTTCACAAGCAGATATCATGCTTTTCAAATTACTTTTCTATGTTTGAAAGGGGCTTAGATTATTGGGGGAAAATCTTACAGGTTATCAGTTTTCCTCTGGGTTCATAAAACCAGCTTTACCTTTTAGCTACGTTACCAAGGTAAAAGTTATCATTTTTAGGCATCATGTAATAGAAAACAAATACCTGTTGTTTTGCAGTGCTCAGCAGACTGTGGCAAGGGGATTCAGAAAAGAACAGTGACATGCACAAATTCTCAAGGAAAATGTGATGCAGCCACCAGGCCAAGAGATGAGGAAGAGTGTGAGGATCACACAGGCTGTTATGAATGGAAAACAGGCGACTGGTCTAAGGTAACAGTGGGCACTACACGGTGTTTTCTCTCAAAGTGCAAAGATGTTCAGTGTGCTATGCTTCTGGGTGCTATCTGTGTTAGTTTGCAGCTTAAATATTTGGAAAGGAAGGGTTTAACTGCCTTTGATTGGAGTTTTTGCTGGGATTTAAACTTCCCCCTTACACGATTTTTAACCCAAACATGGCAGCACAAGCTTATGGATATGACTCAGCAAGTTTTAGAGAAGTGTATTCCAAACAGCGTAGAAATGAGTATTAATTGACAGCTTAACCATCCAAAGGCAAAACCTACACAAGATTTCCACCACAGGTGGACTCGTGGTGTCAAAAAGCTACTTTATAAACGATACTGAAACTGCTTTCCATATTTCAAAAAGCAAACTCTCAACAGTTCTGGCTAGCAGATTGAATTCTGCAGATAAGAGTTTATTAGCAGAATCTTCCAGGACTGCAGGGAACTAAGGAGGTGTCCCATGCCCAGCTAAAAAGAAAATAGCAGAAGGCTGGTTTCCTTGAGCGTAGATGTGTGCTAAATATTTGCACTTCCAGTGAGGAACCTAGTCACTGAGAAAAAGGGAAATCTCACAGGAGACTGTGGTGAGAGTTCTGTCTCCCTCAAAGCATCAGTATGGAGCTGAGAAGAAAGCTCGACTCTAGTCTTCTTATCCCACAAGTGATAAATCTGGAGGTCTGGAAGAACTCTTGTTGGACTGAATACTACTGCGGGGAAGCACAGGGAAGTCCTGGCAGACTCACACAGAAACAGAGTGTAACCAAGAGCACTCACACCTGAGCTCTGTTCCTCTGCCTCAGGCAGGTCCTGCCTGCAGAGTCTGACACTACACTGTTTTATTACCGCAGATGCTGTGGTGATAAATAAGTACCACCAGAGCTGCGCTCTGAATTTCGTGCTAGTCTGAGACCTACACTGCATAGCCCACTCCTAGACTTATCCCAACCACCTGAAATGAAAACGAGCCACGAATTTAGAGACAGAGCCAAAACCATCAGTCCCTTCCTCAGGGCTGGGTTTTACCTTTGCTTAGGCCTATCTGAACTTAGTTTCTCTGGTGACATCAGTGGAATTAATTCCTGAATGCAATGGATTAAACCAGAGCAGAGTCTGGTTCTGATCTTAAAGTAGCAGGTAGTTTTGCTTGGGAAGGTGGCCTGGCAGTGTGAGAAACTCAGCCTTTGCCAGTGTTGTTCGTAAAGCATCCTTTACATTACTGACTTCATGTTTGCGTAAAGAACTAAAATTTCCCAGGAATATTATATTCCAGTTTGGTTTTATCTTATCTTTGTAACTGTACTTCTTTAAACAGAAAGCCTACTTTGTGTTCTGGAATGTACAGCATGTGCAGAAACCACTCGGATACAGTAGTTGCGTTTCACTTTCCAAAAACCCAAACTCCAGCCGGGAAAATCCAGTGAAATAGAGGCCCATGATGGGCAAATCAGTTTATCTGTGATGCAGTTTTTGACATTGTTATTGAGAATTACAGATATTTATATCTATACTCTGTCATAGGTACGTGAGTTTAGTGGTGTCAGTGCTGGAGAATGCATTAAGAACCTGCCGCATACAAAAGGTCTGTATTTATGTTGAGCCAGGAATTTGTATCACAGGACGTTTAGAGTATTGAACATTATTTTATTCGTAACCTGGCACACATAGTCTGTGCAAGCTGGCCAAAACAAACAGTTCCCATGTGTTAACAGGTGAAATAACATTATTTATTTATTTGTGGAATTTTAAAACATTTTGGCATGCAGATTGACCCGGATTCTCTTTATAGGGAGGAATATGAAATAATTGTGTATTCACTGGTTACATGGATTACAAGTTCAGCATTGTATGAGTGGTTCCAATCTGATAAAGATGTTGGCTCACTGCTAGGAAGGCTGCAATCATACATCGGTCACAGTAAATAGTGTTGTTGATGGATTTAGTGTCTGCGTGTGAGCAGGACAGGATCAGAGCAAAATCACTTGTTATTTGCAATTCTTAACTCAGGACCAGGGTCCTCCCTGTGCAGCAGGGCACAAAAGCTTGTGTGCTGCATATGTGGCCTGCTTCTGTCTGCAGAGAGCTTGTGCCAACGCTCCGCTTCCCAGGAATTTCACCCTGTGTGAGTCCAGCAGGATGTTCTTGGACTTAGATTTGGTTTATAATGAGCATCTAAAATTCTAGACATATTGGTTAATTCTGACTGGACACTTAGATGACACAATTAGATTCTTGTTCTCTGAGTAGAAGTGTAAACAAAAGGCACCACTGAATTGCTCAAAAACGGTATGGGTAGATACAATTCTTTGAAGAAAATGGATTGTCCCAGAAACCCAGATAGCCACAGTGTTTGGCGTGGAATTCAATTCTTCACAAATCCTGAGCAAAGGATTTTCATCATGAGGATCCAGAAGCTTTAATGAAGGGTGTGGATTTAGGTGGAGAGCCTTTACAGCTATCAGCAACTCCTCTTTGGTGTTGCCCAGCTTTAAACAGTTCCTCCTTTACAGAGAAACACAAAGTCTGCGGCAGTTAGATTATAGTGAACTCTTTAAAATACGTACTTCCAGAGTAAGATTCCATTGTAAAACATTTGTGCTGGTGCTGTAAAAATCGCTGTGAGAGATCTTTGTGCTGACTAAGACGGAAACTTTTTCTATTAATACAAATTGATCTCAGAACAAGCAACAACTTTTTGCAATTAACGCGTTGTACATTTGTTACTTATTGTTAAGAATCATCAGGGAAGCAAGATTTAACTAACAGTAGTAATTATCACAGATTAAAATAAGGGGCTTTGATGCTCTATGTGCAAACAGCTTGCATGGTGGCTTGGCCTCCAATCCTTAATTTTCCAAACCAGATAGTTTGAAGATAGCAGGAAGTCATCTAAGAAAGAGGCAAAAGCTTATTTAAAAAGCCAAGTCCAGATGCAACTTGTAAATAGAATAGTGATGGCAGACTGTTATTTTTATATCATTAGTAGTAGCATTTGTAGAATACATGGACTCTGTGCATGAGAAGACAGATCACTTACCTAAGGAGCAGCCAGCCCTGTATAAAAAACTCACCTCGCATCTGGCAGTGATGGACTTGGTTATCCTGCATAAGATCTTAGATCCTGTTTCATTCAGAAGGTGCAAGAGTGGGCAGCAATGAAAGCTCCAAGTCTGTGCCAGTCAAGTTGTGGTTTTACATTCTCAGACCCTGGATCCACTTCTGTGCAGAAGAGATGAGGGCTGGAGGCATGGCCATGCTGGTCTTTAACCTGCACCTACCATCCAAAACCTTGTCCGCTGGCCTTAGTCATGGCTTTGCAACCATTGCCTGTCCATGCTCTGAAGAAGAGGATTTTTTTTTCCATTTTTTGTCAGGGTTATTTGCAGATGGTCCTTACTACATATTACAGCTGTGGAAAGCATTTGGAGCTAACTGAGCAGATATAGCAAGCAGTCTTGGCTGTGATATTTGTGTATTCCCTGTGTATCTGCAGCATATTTCACGTGTTGCATGAGGTGTAGTTCACTTTGCAAACACACAGAGCCAGCTCTGTAAAGTTATTTTAGATGTCTTTGAAGTTACCTTTGTTAATCCAGTGCTTGAGATTAACAGACTGTCTACTGTAATTCTAAAGACAGACTATTATTCTCTTACTAGTAACCATGTGTACCACTACCACTGCTATTAAACCTCCAACTTCTCGGCACTACTGCAACTTGTCTTTTAAACCCCTTATCTCAAAGGGATATAACTGTTATTTTTAGCGTTTAACACAAACGCAGCGCTGGTGTTATGAGTTAAATAACTAAACTGTTCCTGGCCCAGGAGTCTTCAAACCTGGTAGAAAGAAAGCCAGCACAGCAGGAGACCCACTGAAGGTGTTAACCCGAAATCCTTCTTTTCTTGTTGCCTGAATTCTTCAGAATTGCCATTCATTATATCATCCTTTTTTACATATGATGCAATATATGAATGGGAATCCAAGCCATCTCCCATTCAATCATTTCTTCCAAAAGGAAATTCCACATCCAGTTTGTGTTCAGTTAAAGAAACAAACATCTCGTA